TCTCTGTTTTTCTTCCCCTCTCTCTCTGTCTTCCTCTTCCCCTTTCTTTCCCTCTCCATCTCTCTCTCTCTCTTTCTCTCACCCTCCCCTCCTCCCACCCACCCACCTACCGACACACACACAGACACACACGCACGCATACACATACAAACTCATCAACACAAAGCCATGTTTGTACCATTTCCACAATTACAAAGCCATTTCCCCATCTCCCGTTTGTGTCTCGACTCTACAGACTTTCCCCCTTGGGATATTTTCCCTACAATGGATAAAACTTGGACTCGGAGACAAAAATAAATTCCTAGTTCAACCAAAGAAGAAAATGAAATAAAGACTGCCTACTTCAACTTCAATCCCCGAATTCCTATCTCGAACACAGATCTTTGCCCTCCGGGATTCTAGCCAGTCCAGCCGATGATGGGTCGATGTCTTTCTGAGAGTAGAGAAGTTTAAGGAAGGGCTAGAAAGACTTTGGAAGATTTCCTCCCACAGGGACCTCGAAAACTGCGGTGACGTTGTGAGTTTGAGAATCAGAGAGGTCGCACCCTGCTTTGTTCCCTTGTAATTGCTAAGGGTGGGAAGTCGGCAGAGTAAATAGAGGGGCTTGAAAACTATCTCCCGTGTGGAGCTAGAAAAAGTATTGCTTAGGCAGGCGCGAAGAAAAATTAACGAGGGGATGGAAATTTAAGTCACACCGGTTGCTCGTACTTCCTGGGATAGCTCGGTGTTCTAAGATATTAGATGGTGTGGAATAGTTCTAAGACAGAAATTGAAATAGTTCAAAGATTGTTTCTATATTCGAAAAATGTTCTCTGTTTGCTATTCTCCCCTCCCCCCCCCCCCAACATTTCAACACTGACAGCGCATTTTAACAAGATTTTTTCTTCACGAGGAGGCCACAATGATGAAGACAAGTCTGTTATTGTATGAGTGAGGGGGGGGGGGGGAATCTTTATATTGCTATAAATTATTGTGTATTACGAGATGGTTTAGTCCTTTGATTAATGCCAGATTTGATAACTTTATTAGAACGTGCTTGATACCATGTATAGTTAGTGTCGTTGGACGTATCTTGTCTACAATAAGTGAGACCAACGATTGTTGGAAAATAATTTCTCTAGAAAAAAAAATGAGGCAAAACGTTTTTGTCTAGCGCCAGATGCGATTTCTGTAAAATTGTGCACAATCCGATTTTTGGAGAGCCATTTTTGTTGAAGAGAAACATGCACAACAAGGAACCCCCCCACC